ATTTGTAAATTTCGGTGCAGGACAATGAATACGTATATAAGGCCCTGTTCGTTGGACTGCTCCCTCTAGGCCAAGCAAGTTTCCTTTCTGGACTTAACAATGTTGTACATTACCCAATGCATGAATTACCTGGTATATACGGTCGTGCCGAATATTCGGACATGTTTGGATTCACAGAAGCAGAAGTCAAGCTTCTTTTAAGTAAAAATTTATCGCGTGTTCCATCGGCCAGTCATATTCATCAATGAGAATAATAGTTTGTTTGCCAAAGTAGCCATGGAGATGGCGTGTTAGACGGGAGATAGCGTTTATTAAATGTGGCTCGTCAATTGTTTCATTGAGAATGTTTTTAAATAAAGATTCATCTTCTATATGAAGATTCTTATTATCAATCATATAACGATGTTCTTTGTAAATGTCCGATATTCTTTCCTTGATGGAATTTAGCATTAATTCCCAAGACTTGTCACAAAGATCCTAATAAAATAAGTATAATTAGCCATCCTGCTTAAAAGAAGAACTACATTAGGCTTATTTACCTTAAAATTAACGTAAATGACAGGCCAATTGCCTAAGTGCAACTTCATAAACCAACCAAATTGTGCGACTTTGAGGCCTTTAAACAGTGCAAGCTTTTGTTCTTTCTCTTTTTCCGACACCGGTTTGAGAAAGGTATAAAGCATTGAAAGGTTTGTAGATTTGCCAAACCGACGGGGACGAGTAATAAGTATAGCCCGCTCACTGTAAATCATATATTCTATAATGAATAGCGATTTGTCCACAAAAACGCCCGACATAACGAAATTAAGAAAATTCGATTCGCCCGGAGAATATCCGCCTTTGACAATTACATTTGGAGAATCTACTACAACGAGAAAAACCAGTAGTAATCAATCTTTCTAAATGTTTTAGGAATTTATCATCAAAAATTACTTACCTTGGAGCAATGCCTCTCTGGTTTCTTTGATTTATACATACATATGTTATAATACATTTTTAAATCCATAATAATAGCCATTAAACAATAAGAATTTCGGAAAGCCTTACCTTTTTCCTGGTCAGTCCACACCATAGACGTTGAATCAAGAACTAGAAAGTGAGACAATTGATTAGATGAATGTTATGAGTTTGGCATAGAATACAGATATTTCAAATTTAGTTCGGAATAAAAACAAAACTGATTATAGCATACCTTCGATTAACCTTGGGCGTTTTCTCGGCGGTCCATCGTCTATTATAGCACAAGTTAATAAACGAAATTAGGTTTGGAATATTCGAATGCAGTCGTGGTAAACAAGAAACAGAGAAAACGGAATATCACGAATAATGGAAGGAAGAAATGAGGGTTAGAAATGTGAAAAAAGAACAAGTTAGTAAAACACTAAATAGTATACCAAGCTTTCTAGTTGCAACGCGTTCTACGATGACAATAAGTTTATGAGACGCGGAGAAAGCAGTATAGGTTTGGAATATGAGTCAGAGACTCGACACTTTGTGTCTTCGAATGCAGTCGTGGTACTA